CCCCCCCCCCCCCCAAGAGCCAAGAGAACAGCTGAACAGCTGAACAGCTGCACCACAGACCGCAGACAACCAGACCACCGACGCAAGACTACAGCACAGCCGCACAGCACAGCCGCACAGCACAGCCGCACAGCACAACTAGCGAAGGCAGAAGGCAGACCGCGATCCACGATATTCGATCTTCACCCATGGCAACTGCCGGATCGACTCTTGTGGCATTCGCTGCAAGCAGCTCGGATGATGACACCGCACGGCACCCACGGCACGACGCCGCACGGCACCTGCAGCAGCTTCCGGTGCTTCTGCGGGACAGACCACGAGACAAATGGGCCTCGCAGAGTGTTTGCAGCTCCCACAACCAACTCCACAGCAGCAGAGGTCGAAGCAGAGGAGGGACGAAAAACGGCGTCAAGAGGCCCTTGAAGGCTGGGCTAATCCCACGGCGTCAGAGAGGGCGGCCCACATCGACCAGAGACGAGTCATCATGAGCCACGAAGAGGAGAGGGACAAGAGGCAGCGGGAGTTGGAAGAGGAGGGCGAGGAGGACGAGGATGACGAGGAGGAGGAGGATTCAGAGAAGCGGCGGCAGAGGGGCAGGGAGAGGGCAGAACGTGAAGACGTCAGGAAGAGGAAGAGGCGCGGTCCGAAGCATGGTCATCATCAGACCGCGAACCGCTGCGGCAGTGTGAGCGCCGTCAATCGCACCAAGGACTTTCCTCACCAGTCGCTGATCGTAGAGGGCGGCAAGATCTTTTGCGAGGCCTGCGGCCGGAAGCCAATGTCCAAGATCAAGAGCACCCTCAAAAATCATGTCACCGGCACCAGGCACACAGCAGCCCTCGTCAAGCACAGGAAGTCGAAGAAAATGCATCAGGTGCGAAATTTTGAATTTCAAATGTCGGATGTTCTTCGTTCTTTGTTTTGTGACGTGCTCTGTACTCTGTCATCTGCTCTTGTGCGCTGTTATGAGAGTTTGCACAGTAGTTTGGTGTTGTTTTGATGCGTTTTTGTGCTTTTATTTCCTTTATTTTTTGCTGTGTTCCTGCGTTCCTGCGTCTTAACAGGCTTGTTTTTCTTGGCACACAAATACAGACCATCCATACTCCATACACACAATGAATACTTTGAGGCCGGGAGTTTTTTCGCTTCACAGCACCCTGCACCGCCGTGTCATGTAGTGCTGGTTCCGCGTCTCAAACAGCGTAGGTATGTACAGTACACCTTCTCCTGTTTTCCCTGTTGGCACATCGCACAAAAGAACAAGATGATCCAGTACATGCATGGACAACGAGCAACCAACGCTTCGCCGATTAAGCAATAAAACACGCACAATAACTATGTGGTGAGCCAAGCCCACGTTGACACTTATTCGTTTGTCCACGCACGAATGTCCTCCTTTGCAGGCCTCCATGAACTTACTCCGGGAACATTTCGCCTCGGTGGGAGGCGCCTATGGATGCACCCTCACCCCGAAAGAAGTCACGCGGCAAATCCTGTTCACGAAGGGGTGCCTCTCAGCTGGTGTACCTTTGAACGCCCTGAACAACCCCACCATGAAGGACGCTCTTCACTACACCGGCGTGAAGCTGCCGTCAGCGAATCACCTTGCGAACCACATCCCGGCCATCTTGAAAGAAGAGGTAAGGAAATTGTGACGTTCAGTGGAAGGAGCTAGAGGTGGAGGGTGGTGGAATGTTTTGTGAGCCGCCGAGCTTGGGCGCTGGTTTAAAGGACGCACCCTGCACGTTGTTGAAAACATGTTACTCGTAGTGTTTTGGACGCCCGACCATCCCCACTCCCTCACACATCTGCCCTCGTACACCATTTATTCAAAAGATAATACTGGAAGAACTTGGCGACGGCAACTACACGGTGTGCTTCGACGGAACCCCATATCGCTGCGAGTGTTTCGGCATCGGTATTCGGTTCATCGACCAGACGGGACAGGTGGGAGATGGGATGAGAGTTCAGAGGGTAGCTGTCACAAGCATGCAGGAACATCGTGTTATTTTTTATGGTCGACATGTTGCCTAAATTCTGGTCCATCGTCCGTCATCCGTCGTCCATTGCAAGATCGCGAGCGTGTCTCATTTTGATTAAAGAGGGAAGAGAGCATGTTTTGTTACAGGTTGTGCGTCATACGTCATGCGTCACCCATAATCGTTTTCATCGTTTTCCCTTTCTTTTTTCCATTTCCCTCTCTGCCCTCTGCCTATCTGGGTGTCTTCATTTTCGGTTGGGTAGATATGTCCACGCCTCCTTTGGCTGAGCATGCTGGCCAACAGCATGGACTACCAGGACATCTACGGCGAAATCCACAAGGTCGTGTTCATGGAGTACAAGCTGAAGCCCGAGCGCTGCCGTGGCTTCCTGTTGGACGGATGCTCCCCCAACTTGAAAGCCCTCCTGGCACTGGTGACATACTGCCGGTTCGCTGTGGGCGTACGCTGCATGTCCCACCTCATCAACAACACCGGCAACCAGATTGACAGCGGCCAGATCGACAAGTTCGCCGGCGCCCTCCACACGGTCCTCTCACACAGCCACAACGCTAAGGACCAGTGGCGGAAGGCGACGAACACGACGCCCCCGAAAGCCCCCAGCCACCGTTGGGGTTCGACCTACGAGACGAACAACCAGTTGGTGACGAGCTGGCAGCCGACCAAGGACTTCATCGACGCCTTCAGCAGCAGCGACGAGACCAAGTGACGAAAGGCCGACTTCTGCCGGGGTGAGCTTGCCAGGCTCCGGAAGGACAGGTACCACCAAGAGTTCTGGCTGCAGCTTGAGTTCGCGGCCGCTGCGGACATCGGGAAGCACCTCGTGAACGGGTTCGTATGTGCTCGAAGGAGATGGCATCCTGGTGAGATATGCTGAACGTTTTTTTTCTTCTTTCCCTTTGCCACTGCTGGCCCCGTAGAATTTGTGCGATAGCCGTTGTTATTTTTGCTGGTCCTGTCGTTCGGTTGCTAGCATTTGTGTATGATGTCTTGTAATATTTTCCCTTCGGACGACCATCAATGCTAACCGCCTTCCACGGGTAATTTGCTTGGCTGTTTCCCGTTCTTCCGTGCCTCGTTGTCCTTATCAGCTTCCTGTGGCGTATGAAGTCATCCTCAGGGTGCGGACGGGACTTGCCCTCACGCGAAAGGCGGACGGCTCCTTTGGCAGGCCGCATCTCCCGAATGTCGATGCGCTCATCCGAGAGTACAGCAAGGGTGACGTAAGTAATATTTTTTCGCGGGATGGATTTGTGGCACACAACGCTTGCACTGCTGCAGTCTGCACGCGCAAAGCTCATAGACAGCAGTATTGATCAATAATCAACTCGTGCCGGTTTACTCTTACTCCACTGCCCGCCCCCCCCCC